CTCCCCTGTTATGCCAATGGCGTCCACATGCGCACTCCCGGCCCCAATTGTTCCAGTGTCGGAACAAGGGACACATGCTTCACCCTTGCCCTTGTCTTTGTCGTGGACCCTCGTCCCACTCCCATTCATCCTCGCAGCTTCCCTCTCTGCGATTTGTTTGGCCCCTTTGATTTTTGGAGTCCCTTGCCTGCTTGGTCTCCCTCGTGTTCTGCGGCCGCTGCCTTCTCCGTCTTGGCGAAGGCGATCTCTTTCTTTTGTCCCTCCCCTGCATCAGGAAGAGCACCTCGTCTTCGCCTTGTTTTCCGGAAGCATTCGCGTTTTCTCGTGACTTGTACTTCACCATGGCCTCCTCCTTCCTGTTGTCCCGGCGCAGGTGGGGCTCGATCGCCCTCATCGGTTTTCACCTTGGCCTCGTCTTTCATGCTGTCCTTGTGCAGGTAGGGCCCGAGCAAGTCCTCATCGGCGATCACCTGGGCCTCATCCCTCATGCTGTCCTGGTGCAGGTAGGGCACAATCATATCGGTGATCCCCTTGCCCTCTCCCTTCACGTTGTCCTGGTGCAGGCCTGGGCCTCTTCCTTCAGATTGTCCTGGTGCCGGTAGGGCTCGGTCATGTCCTGGGCGGTGGTCGTCTGTGCCTCGTCCTTCCTGTTGCCTCGGTACAGGTAGGGCTCGATTGTGTCCTCGCCGGTGCCCACTCTGGCCTCTTCCTTCAGGTTGTCTTGGTGCAGGTAGGGCTCGCTCATGTCCTCGTCAGCTTTCACCCGGGCCTCGTCCTTCTGGTGGTCCTGGTGCAGGCGGGGCCACCTAGGGCCCCTTCCATCAAGTCGAACTGGTGCAGGTAGGGCTCAATCATGTCCTCAGCGCTAGAGCCAGCGCCGGCATCCATGTCCAAGCGCAGCCGCTGCCGCTCGCCAGTCTTTCCTTCGACGTGAAGGCCCTGAGTTTCGATGTAGCCGGGCTGGCAGAGGACTTGCATGGCATCCTTGATGGCCTTGGTCTGCTCCTAGGGCGGTGATGTTGAGGTAGTCACGGGCTTCGCCCCCATCACGGAAGTGTGGAGCACTGATCAGTCCCACTCCTTGGGAGGGGGCCAGCCACCATCCACAGCATATGCAAAGAAACATGTAAGTGTGGTACACGAGGCGCATCGCTCTGCAACACTGCTATGTACAGACGTATGCAGGCTACTCACCAATGCTTCGGAGCAAGCGACACAAGCATCAGTTCACATGCTGCAATGGACTGCCTCAAGCTCTAATTGCAAAGTGCCACCTGTCTGCTGGAGGACCAAGGAACGGCCTCCTGCTGCAACCATGTCTGCGCATATCCCGCCCATTGTTCCCTGTTTAACGCCACCACCCTCCAGTCTTCGCTCCCAACAGCCCTTGCCACCCTTCGCTCTCTGTTCATGAGAAACGGAAAATGTCTGCCATGCCTTCTGCCTGTTCCACCAGCTGAGGCTACGGAAATCTGACAACCTGGCTGCTGCCGATAGGAACGGTAGACCTGCCCCCCTCACTGTGTGCCCCATGAAGGCCCAGTATGCCAATACCGCACAGTCTCCCCATCTTTTCTCACCCATCCTATGGACCATTGCCCTGGCCAGCCGCAACATCCTAGCTTCCCCATCCACCCAGGTTTCGTTAGCAACCCGTTTCAGCCCCATCATCCTCCGAACACATGAGTACTGGAAGTGGTTGAGTGCGGCCTGGACTGCCGCCGTGGGGAAAAGGATACCTATGGTCCAGGCAAAGGTGCCTTGTACAACCTTGTTCAGGACTTCGATTCTCGCTTTGAGGGGAGCCGATGATGTAAGGATATGAAGAATTCCTCCAAACTTACTTCTAGCCTTGTCGATCAGGGATTGCAAGATCTTCATCTCAGTGTTGTCCCTTGCAATGGGGAGGTTAAGGACGGTGAACGTCTCATCTGCCGACATGGGTGTGACAATGTCTTCTCCAAGCTTGAGCTTCACCTTGCTAGACCCCCTAAGACACAAGAGCTTCGACTTCGAGGACTGAGCATGAAGACCGAATTCCGCAAGCTTGGGTAGAAGCTCATTCACGAAGGACTGCATGGAGGTAATTATTCTCTTCCAGGTAATTACATCATCCATAAAGGCACATCCATCGTTTCCCATTTGCGGGAGAATTTCTCCGTCCCCAGCCCTGTTAATGGAGCCCAGGATGTCATCAATCAGGCGGCCGAAGACAACCGGGCTCTCCGTGGAGCCTTGTTTAACCCCTGTGTTGGCGTGCAACAGCACATCCTCCCATGGGAGAGCAAGGACAACCTCGGCGCTGGCAAGCATTCGAACGATGCAACGAACCTCAAAGGGGAAATCATCCGAAGCCCATTCGATGATTTT